GAATATGTAGCTTCAAAGAACTGTTTGATGGCTGGTTATGGTGCCAACTACCGTGTCTTTCTTTTCCACTTTTTCCTCCTTGCCTTCTGCTACAAGATGTCTTGGAAATTAACCAGAGTTACAATCAAATTCTTTTTCAAAGCAAGCTTAAGTGAAATCTGGAAGCTCAGCAGACCCGCAGCCTATGCTTTCTTTTTCCTTCTTCCTTCCTACCTTCCTTCCAATAGTCAGGGTCAAAGAGTGTTTGAAAAGGAAGTGATTTCCTCCTTACTAATAACTTAAATGCTGTGTTATTTTGTGATTTACTTGGAATATTCTACTGTATTCTGTCAGGAGCTTTGTGGAAAGGAGGAATTCAGATTTCTCCTTCCATCTTCAGTTACTCTGTGATTTCTATCTGCCAGGCTCTTGCAGATAAGCAATTACTGATCTTCCAGGATAAGCAAAGATAATCTTTCATTATTAAAAAAAAAAATGCAGTAAATTTATTTATTTAATTTATCTCAAAATCTCAGTCAACGGGAGGCAGTTCAAATAACTGAGGATTTTTTTTCTCTGTATTTTAATTTGAGAGACAACATAATATATTGATAAATGGGGGATGTTTGGGTGGCTCAGCAGTTGAGCGTCTGACTCTTGATTTCATCTCAGGTCATGATCTTGCAGTCATGGGATTCAGTGCCCCCCACTCCCCCATCAGGCTCAGCACACAGTCAGCATCAGATTCTCTCCCTCTGCCCCTCCCCCCATACTCTCACTCTATCTAAAAAAAAAAATTTGATAAATGGTATTTTAAATAAATACCAGTTCTTCTTTTTAATAACCCACCCTAGGGGTGCCTGGTTGGCTCAGTTGGTTAAGCATTGGACTCTTGATTTCCACTCGGTCATGATCTCAGGGTCATGAGATTGAGCTCCACATTGGGTTCCACGCTGGGTGTGGAGCCTGCTCAAGATTCTCTCTCTCTCGCCCTCTCCCCCTCCCCCACATTCACTGTCTCTCTCAAAAACAAAACCACAATAAAAATTTTGTGAACCAATCAGGTTTTATAGGGGAGTACTTACATGTTTATCCATGAATCAGGAATCTGTATTATTGTTAGTATTGCTGATGCTGAGTCACTGTAAAATCTTGAAGGACCTTTGGAATTATCAAAGATCTTTCTCCCCTGTGAAGGGGAGGGAGAAAGATATGTCCCAAATATTTCTTGGCTGCATTTTCTACCCCAAAAATTATGTTGCAGCCTTGAAATTTTTCTTTCATCAGTTCCTCTCATGTGTGGGAGGCAGCTGAAGTCAGTGTATAATTACTTCTTGAGGGGAGATTAATGGCTCTGGCCTTTCTTCTCTCCAGTCCTCATTTCTGCGTCACCTGCCTATCAGCACTTAGATCTCTAATAGGTGCTATTAAGACTAATATCTAAAGGTGAATTGAAAAGAAGTATCATTAAAAGATAAAGGACATGAACTGTTGGGAAACTTAAGATATTTGCATCTTTAAATTCTCTGTCTCTTTTCAAGTTTTTCTTTTGTTTTGCTGTTTATCTTCCCATTCAGTGAGTCCCAGGAGTGCCGTCCCGTCCCCATCCGTCCCATTGTCCCATCCCCTCCCCCCGTGGCACTTTAGCATTTCAGAGACCAAGAATTGGCCTGGTTTTTATTGTTGTAGCTATTAAGGTATTTAATGACCTTAACTTTTTATATTCCTGTTACTCAATTTTCCCTACTGGGTCCAGTCTCCTGACAATTCCTGCTCTTGTATCCTAGGTATATGGGAAAGGTGGCAAAATAAGTCCTTTTCTGATTTTTATCCTCTCCTGGAGAGTGGTAAATGAAGCTTTGTTTGTTCCAGTGAATAGTAGACTATGAAATCCCATAACACCACCTAGGTTATTAGATGAATATCACAGAGCTGCTTATTATGCACTATGGCTTCATGTAGATTATAGATGTGACCAAACGGTAATTAGCAGAGCTAGAGCTGTAATTAAACATTATTATGCTGCTCTGTGATTTCTCCTCAGATTTCTGTTGCAGAGTAGGAAACTGAACCAAACCCATAGGTGGATTTCTTTACTTCTCACCCCCTAAAATCTCTTTTAATTAACTGACTAAATAAAGTCATCCTCACTCAAAGAGAGATCCTGAATTCTACTTAGTACCTCTGATCAGTAAGAGTAGTTTGGTGCATATACATGTTAATCAGCTCTTTGTATATTCTGTTTTTCTAACTAATCATTTCTGCTAAGTTCCTTCTCTGCACGTATTCTGTAGCAGGTTTAATTTGGCAAACTGAATGCAGCAAGGGTGTCTCCTACTTACATCTTAGATGTTTTCTGGCTCTGTTGGTACAGAACTGGGGCTTTGGTTTTATTTACAGTGTTAGTAGCTTCCTTCCCTTCTTCTTGGCCTCCCAGGCACTGAATAACCTAGCAGGAAATAAAACATCTTCTAGAAAACAGCTACCCTCGTTGGCTGAAAGAGAGAGAGAGAGAGAGAGAGAGAGAGAGTGTGTGTGTGTGTGTGTGTGTGTGTATGTATATATATATATATGTGTGTGTGTGTGTGTGTGTGTGTGTGTGACTCCCTGGGGACTTACCTCCTTCTGTGTTTAGAATTGCTGCCTCAGCGATGGAACAGATTAGCAATAGGACATGCTCAAGCGAGGCAGTCAGAAAGTTCAAAGGAGTGACCTAAAAGATTCAGGTTAATCTGTGTCCAAGAAAGCAGACCTTGCAGGAATTTCTCTTGCTAGTAGAACGGTATAGAAAAGACAACAAACTCTAAGCAAAGGAAATACACATACTGATTGTGAAATTGTTTTTGTCTCAGTTCTTCCACAGGAGAAAAAATAGAAAAACAGAGGTGAGGCCAAGAGTAAAGATGATCTGTGTACTCTGTCTCTAATTTTCTCTTTTTAGTAATTTTTGTGAGTAAAATCTCCAGGAAACTTTCTTCCCAAAGAGTTATATGAGCTACCTTCTTGAAGCATTCCTGAAAGGCCTTGATGGTTAGACCCAGATTCCAGCCATACACAGGGGTAGTAGAGAATTGAGCTTACTTTTTCTGTGTTTTTGCCTTCAAATCTGTGCATAGAAATCTTACAGGTCTTTCGGGGATCTACCACATCCCAAGAAGGTTGCCAAATTAAATGATCATTGCCTGATTTTCAGAAGTGCAAAAAGAAGGCAACGATGCCTTTTGGCATTGACCATAATGCAGAAAATTCATTATATGGGCTTTGACTTTCATTTCGTTTTATAAAAGAGGTAGAGTTAGGGGAGTACGGGGTTGGGGGGCAGGGGGAGGTGGGTGCATGACAACAAGCAGATAAGGATAATGTTTTGGCAACCTCTCAGGGACCAGAATTCATCAGAATCCGTGTTCTAGCATTCAGTGGACTCTGACAGTGATGATTCACAAATAGCAGAAGAAGTCAGAGCTAACTGCGGTAGAGGCAATACCAGATCTCAGCTTCTAGAGGAGTATCTGAGGCCAGGAAGAGGTAGGTGTGTGTGTGTGTGTGTGTGTGTGTGTGTGTGTGTGAATGTATGTGTTAAGAGGAGGGAGGTGACTTACAGGTTGAGCAGTGGTCATTCAGTAAAACCAGAGTTCTGTTGCAGAACTGTCCGGCAGCTTGGATTATGGGTGCATATGTGGCTCTCTAGATGTAGGGTCATTGAAGGAGTACATTCAAACTGGACTAAAAAATCTTTTGTGGGGCACCTGGGTGAGTCACTTGGTTGAGTGTCTGACTCTTGATTTTGGCTTAGGTCATGATCTCGGGGTTATGGTATGGAGCCCTGCGTCAGAGCCCCACATAGGGCTCTGGGCTCGGCAGCAGGGATACTTGAGAATTTTTCCCTCTGCCCCTCCCACGCTCACTTGTGCTTTCTCTCTCTCTCTCTCTCTCAAAATAAATAAATCTTTTTAAAAAATCTTTCACAAGGGGAAGAAAGTCACAATCCTTGACTCTCGTTTTCTAGGTCTGTTGATTGGTATCACTTAATCTTCAGGGAAGGTTAGTGTGTGAATTCAGTGCTTTTGCATATGCAGGACACTGTGTTTAGTTAGGATTTGGGCACTGTAGACTCAGTACTTCCATCAGTCTGATAAATGCTAGGATTTAAAGAGTTAAGGGATTATTACCCTCTTTATTACAACTTTTAATTCTGGATATGTTGAATTTTTGGTTTCTAAGTAATTGCATTCTTGTGAGAGGTTCTAGTTTTAGAGGTAGATTGCTGGTTCTTGTGTTCACCTATTTCTGTGTGTGTGTGTGTAATCAACTTCATCTGCAGACTGCCATGAATTAGCTTCTGGATAGTAACAGCACCTGCTGTTCCTTAAAGTTAATTTGATGTTGGATTCATGCTCCAAAATGCCATTCTCATTAACCGGTTGCTGTTATAATCTCTGAGGGTTAGAAACCCCCATCCTAGCCCTCCCATCACTTTTAAGTAGATGTCCTTCTAGCTAAAGATGAATTAAAGCTCTAGTCTTCTGGAACTGATATATCTAGGATCTGCATATTTTCTCCCCTTCTTTATCCCTACCCATATTCTTGGATTTTATACCTGATTAATGTATTATTTGTCAAATGATAGATTGGTGAGAAACACAGTGGTGGCAGTAGAACATGCCTCAGAAGCCTTTTCTTTCTCATCAATCTGTGTGCTCTAATACTGTTGAAATCTGGACCTGGTTCTCTATCACTAGAGATTTTTAAATGAGACAGGATTTTTTAATACACTTTTAGCTAAGCACAGTTTATCAGGAAGATCATTAATAAGAAATGGAGCTTCTCCTACCACAGGGTGCACTCATATAAACCACTAGATTTTTAGTGGTATCATGAGCTGGAACTTGAAAGGAAGGACCAAAGTCTTATATTTAGAGCCTTCCACACTGGCAGGAAAGAATGTAGGACTAGATTATAGAGAAGGTATTTCCTCTAAATGTTCTCTCTGCAACTCAGCTCCTACTTTTCTTCCCTCACAGATGGAGTCCCCTGTCTCTACACCAGCGGTGCTGCCACTGCACCTTTTGGTACCAGTGGTCAGTAATGACATCTCATCCCCCTGTGAGCAAATCATGGTTCGTACCCGATCAGTTGGGGTCAACACATGTGATGTGGCTCTAGCTACAGAGCCTGAGTGCCTGGGCCCCTGTGAACCTGGGACAAGCGTCAACCTTGAGGGCATCGTATGGCAGGAAACAGAAGATGGTAAGTGCTATGTGTGACTTTCCTATACCTTCTCAACCTGCTTCTGCCAACATGGGCTTATCATTGTAAATAACACCAAGTATTTATTAGGAGTCTCAAGTGCCATAGTCTGCTTGTGATACCTATCCAGAGGATCGCAGCAAACTTCTTAGTAAAATCATCCAGCTTCTCGAGATTGCCACTTTTTAAAAATTAATTATCTCCCCTTCATATCAATCAACAGTGTTGGCCCTGGTGTTTAAGCAGTCACTTGATGAGTGCTAGCCAGGTAATTCAAACCGTGTCTGTACTCTCCATACTCCTCTTTATCATTTTATGTGGGAGAATTTGAATGTAAATGAACTTTTGGGTCAGGCTTGAAGAGAAAAAAGTAATGAAAGGACAGCTGTGGGAGTCAAGGAAATGGAAAACAGTCACTCTTAAATTGACTTAGTGTTGGCTCATTGAATATGCAACTCTTGCCCTTTTTTACACCTGGAGGTGCAGTCAGCTACTTCCCACTGGTTGCCTCATTGCCCAGCCACCCACGCCACTTCATGCATCTGTCACTTAGTACAGATTTTATAGGCCTAGGCAACAGGGAAATGTTTACATGGTCTTGTTTTCAGGCATCCACTAAGCAGTTGGCTCACTGTAGGGTGCTTCTGCCCAAGGCTACCATCCAGACTTCTTGTATGTTACATTTGCCCCTGAGAACAGAATCTCTTCTATTTTGGAAGTTCATAAACCTGAAAAAGTAGGGGTGTAAAGGGACTTAACCAGGTATTCCTGATCCCTTGGTACCATCTGTGGCAATTTGATTTCAGCACATACATTCTTTTTATAAAGAATCCAAGTTCTTGTTAAAGTATGTGTGGTTTAGAGAGGCTGGGTCTCAGGGTCCCATCAGGTCTCTGCATCAGTAACCAGATTTTCAAAGCATCCCCACTCTGGAGTTTAGAGGCCCAGAGAAGCACAGCTCATTATCTCTAATTATCATAAGCTATCTTGTCAGTTTGCCCGTGGAAATTCAGGCATTTCATTGTGGTCATTCTAATCAAAGTCTGTTCCTCTGAATGTTTTGTTATGATTCAGTATTTATTTAAAGTCTACCATGCAGTAGGTATTGAGGTGGTACAGGTTAAGAATTCTGTGTTTTTGGCTTTCTCATTGTTAAGCAGCAATATAGTAAAGCTTCAGCTTTCAGAATAACATTGCTGATGAAGTTTTATTGTGTGCCTGAGACCATAATGCCAAAAAAAAAAAAAAAAAAAGTCCTATTGTGTTAGAAACCAATGCAGAGAAAATGGAGAGAGAGGTTGACCCTAGAGGTTGACTCTGGATGTGTGTATTCAGTATACAATCTGGAAATCACAAGTGGCTATCTCTAATTTTAAAAATGTCATCTGCCTATGGCCACACGTCTAAACAGCCACAGAGTCTGTTGGAATGACAAACGTGTCCAGACCACAGCTCTGTGACACCAAACAACCTTCAGGGCCTGTTACCTCAATATATTGAAGATAGAAGACATCAATTTCCTGCCTATTTATTCTATCCATCTTTATGATGGTGACTTTTCTCCAAGGGCAAGATGCTTTTCATATATGTGAACCTGATGAAAACTTTGCAGGGAAGTGAGGCTAACCCTTTCACTCTCCTGAGAACAATGGGGTTACTTTTTTTTATCCCAGGATCCCTGAAACTTCCTGCCAAGGGGATGTTAGCACACACACACAAAAAATTGTTTTAATTATTTCCTCTGAAAAGCTCTCTGGTTTTACCTGGCAGCTTATTACCAAGTTTCCCTTTTACACATTTTGAATGCATCCTGCATTTTATTGCACAGTAGTTATCACAGTTTGTAATTTTATATAATTATATTTTTCCAATAATATCTATATCTTCCACTGTTTTAGAATTCTGTGAGCTCAGGGACTCTGTTTTGCTCACCATTGAATATCTGATACTTAACACTTGGCATCTATAGTAGGCCCTCAAAGATATTTGAGTGAATGAATGCTTACATTTAGTCATTGTCATTTCTAGCTGTTAATGTATATCTAATGGCTACTGTAATATTGTTTGAACTTAGAAACCATATCAAATACTTTATAAAATTCTAGACCTTCTCTGAAACTCAGAATAAATACTGCTGTCACCAGGTAGTGAGATCACTCTCATTTATTTATGTCTGTAAGATTTTTAAAGTTCTCCTGCTTTTAGGGTGCCTGGGTGGCTCAGTTGGTTAAGCGACTGCCTTCGGCTCAGGTCATGATCCTGGAGTCCCGGGATGGAGTCCCGCATCGGGCTCCCTGCTCGGCAGGGAGTCTGCTTCTCCCTCTGACCCTCCCCCCTCTCATGTGCTCTCTCTCATTCTCTCTCAAATAAATAAATAAAAACTTAAAAAAAAAAAAAGTTCTCCTGCTTTTAATACCATATTTTTTCCCATTCACTATATTGTGTTTCAGGGCTTAGTACCTCTCCTCTTTCTTTTTCATTCATCACAAGGGAAAGAGAACTGTTCTGCAATTATATACTGTACTCTGCTTTCTGGCCCTCCCAGAGGGCCTTCACCTGAACCATCAGTTGGCAAAGGTCTGAATTGGGATCAGAGTTGGTTTACATTCCTTTTCATCTTCAGGTGACAGAGATTTCCTGCAAAGATCATTCTCTGCAGATCTATAAGATGTAGTATACTGAGTCAGTCCTCAAGTTAATAATAAGAACTATATACAGATACTTTAGGGAAAAAAAATCCTTCAGCCTTTAGGCTTTTTGTCTGCCACCCTACTCTTTGTACTTCTGTCTGTCTCTTTGCCCAGCAAACTACTATCTTCAAATGGAAAAATCCTTAGAGCTTAGAGAGAAGCTGTGAATCCTTGGCCTCTGAGAGAAATGGAGGATCATGAGGTCCTGGTAGAACTGAGCCACCTTGCTGAGAACAGGTGTAGGGGCAGGCCCTCAATTCTTCCTGGTTTCTTTGCCTACCTGTCCTGCAGTGTTGCTTCTTTCTTCCCTCTCAGTGCAAACCTTGCCTTGGAGACATTTTTAAATTCCTGCAGATTCCATCTCTTTTTAGGCTGTTCATAATTCAGCCAGCACTGCACAGATCCTCCTTGACTAGGCTCCACCTTAGGACTTTAAAGACCCAAGTATAACTTGGAATGTTCTCTTTGGCTTTTTTGAGATGTAGCACTTATGCAGAGGTCTGATTCCACCTGATTTCATTTTGTCCCACCTCACTTCAAATCAAAATAACAGAGGCGTCTGGGTGGCTCAGTTAGTTAAGTGTCCAACTCTTGGTCTCAGCTCAGGTCTTGATCTCAGGGTCATGAGTTCAAACCCCACATTGGGCTCTATGTTGGGCATGGAGCGTACTTTAGAAAAAAAAAAAAAAATCCAAATAACAGGTCCCAAATCCATTCCTAGTTCACAAGGCTTACTTTAACCCAGGGTCCTGGAAACAATGTATAAGAATCCTTAAAGCAGACCATATTCTTTTACTGAGGCAAAATTGCTTCCTGGCTTCTATGGTGTTTTTAAGAAAGGGAAGGCTGACATTTTTAAATAAGAATTCCAGGAGATGCTATAGGTTTTTCTTTTCAAGCAGTCACACTGAGTGTAACATTACTTTATCAAATGTGCTTTCTGGAAGAATTTGTGGTATAGTGGAAAGAGCACCAGAGTGAAAAACAGGAGAGCCATATACTAGTTGACTATTGCATCTTGAAAATGAACAATTTCATAGATCAAAACTAAAGAATATTAATACCAGTGATGAAATTTCATTATACACTTGTTATATAGAGTTGTTTTTTCAGAAAAATGAAACTACTCACCTTGCCAGTCTCCCATTCAGAAGATTTCCACCCACATTTTTCAACTCCTGATCCTAGTCTGACAAATGGAAGAATTCACAAAACCCAGTTGCTTTTGATGCAAGTATATGGTAGCTGACATAAGCTCAGCTCGCAGTACTGCTTAGCAATCCCTTTCATCACCCTATGACATTCACATTTCCCAATACTTAACCTCATTCTCAGGATTCATTAGCCCAATTCATTCTCTCTTCATGCTTTTAAGCAACTAGGATCAAAGATACCTGCCTAAACCCTCCCAGCTTCCCTCCTCTTTCTTAAAATGTATTTTTATGTCCTATTATTCCCTTTTTCTCTCTCTTTTTTTTAAAGATTTTTTTATTTATTCATTTGAGACAGAGATAGAGCACGATCAGGGGGAGAAGCAGAGGGAGGGGGAGAAGCAGACTCCCTGCGGAGCAGGGAGCCCGATGCGGGGCTCGATCCCAGGATCCTGGGATCACGATCTGAGCTGAAGGCAGACACTTAACCCTCTGAGCCACCCAGGCGCCCCCCCCCCCTTTTTCTCTCCTTATTCTGAAGATTCTTTAAGACTTTATACCATGACACTGGGGAGGGTATGTACTATTGTGTGCACTGTGAATTGTGTAAGACTGATGAGTCACAGACCTGTACCCCTGAAACAAATAATACATTATATGTTAATTTAAAAAAAGACTTTGTACCATGAATTTTATCTACTCTTCTTCATCTTCATTCTTTCCCCTTCTATTTAAACTCTCTCTGCAACAGTTAGAATGAAAGTATTTTTCTCATCCTTGCTACCCTTTTGAACTGTTGACCTCTCTCCTTTGCTTCACTACTTGCTATTGCTGTTTACAATCTCTTTTTACCTACTCAGTATCATATACCATCTTGGCATCAGATTTCTTCTGCCACCATTTGACTGAAATGATCTCATACCAATGATCATCTGTTTTCTAAAGGTCTTTTCTCAGTCTGCCCTAGACTTTTAGAAGCTCTACTGTTTCTCTATTCTTGAAACTCTCCTCTCTTGTCATTATCCTACCTCTCAAAAATCTCATTTCTCTTTTTGACTGGTTATTCTCTTTATTTTGTGTCAGCCCCTCTTCCTCCTTGTATTTATTAAGTCAGAAGTTCCAGAAGGGTTTTAGGATGCTGAAATATTGGTCAGTTCTG